CGAACCTTGCGCCATTCTAAACCTGGCAGACTAAACAAGACCCCCCTAGGTAAGCGGTGACCATGCATACGTAGCACGTGCCCGAGCCAACGCAATTTATTCAGTGCTATCTGTTGTTCTAAGGAGCTAGCCCGATTATCACTACCCAGTACTCGCCTACGCACATCATCATTGCGGATACGCTGGTGCCATCCGACACCAGTAATGCTTCGCAGACAACGATGATCAAAGACATGAAGGCGCTTCAGATCTTCAGACGGAAGGGGCCAAGTGTCACTACCATAGAGCAAAACGGCTCTCACTGTGGCCTTGTATACACGGCCTTTCAGACGGAGGGAAGCTCCCTTCCGTCACCAAAGATGCTGCAGGTTCAAAAAGGCAGCTCTGGTCTTTACAATGCGAGAGTTCACGTCAGTTTCTATGCGCCCATCGTTGCTGATGCAGCTGCCAATATAAGTGAAATGATCAACCACCTCGAGTTCTTCGTTAGTAAGGGTCACGGGGTCACAAAGTGGCTGGTGGTCCTGCAGCAACACTTTGAAGGTGAAAAGCGCATACGAAATAATGGGATCACCCTAGACAGGCTATTCAGGGTTGATTGGCCACCGCAACATCGTCGTAAAGCAAGACGATATCGTCCGCGTAATTAAGATCAACTAATCTTTCACCAGGAAGCACTTCAACGCCTGCATAGTGAGATTCTGCAAGGGAACATTCAATGATAGAATCCACGACGAAATTGAACAAAAATGGGGGAATGGGACAACCCTGACGAACGCCACTTGTGGTCGCAAAGCTATCCGACAGGCCACCGTAGACCCTGACGCGGCCTGTAGTGTTCGAGTATAGAGCACGAAGGATGTTCACGTATTTCGTGGGAACACCTTTCCGCCCAAGTATTTCGAACAGAATGCATCCATCGACTAAATCGAACGCATCCTTGTAATCAAGGAACACAACTATTGTCGGTCTGCGGTATGCGTGAGGCTGCTCTAACACCTGCCGCAAAGTGGACTTATGGTCTATATACAGCCACGTCCTGCGCGGAAACCAGCCTGCTCTTCCCTAATCCGAGATTCAAGTCCCTCAGTGAGGTGACGTACGAGAATCGATGACAGCAATTTTGTCACAACTGGTGTTAGGCTAATACCCCTGTGATTAAAATAATCTGTGCGACTGCCCTTCTTGTATATTGCCACTATAATCGATTCGCTCCAGTTAGCGGGGACACTTCCTTCCAAATACGTTTGAATAAGAGGGTCAGTGCTTTGCAGATGACCTCATCTCCATCCTCATATAGTGCAGGTGGGAGGAAATCCGGGACAGAAGCATGAAAACGATTAAGGGCTGTGATCGCGTTTCGAACCTCGGCCTCCGACGGAGGCTCTAAACTAACCCTCCATGGCTCGTCCTGCATCACCTGAGTAGGAATAGGTCCGGGATCAGAGGGCCAGCTGAACTGATCTTCAAAGTGTTCCGCCCAACAAGCCATACGGTGCTCCTTATTGTGTATCAATGCACTCGCGCGGTCTCTGATTGCCTCACTGACGCTTGGTTTTCTGGGAGCAGGGGGTGCGCCTCAGCTGGAAGAGCTTGCGATAATTGCCTACTGCTCCTGCCTCCTCCATTTCTTTCGCCCGACTGGTCCACCAGGCCCCCTGTCAGCACGTAAACTCCGCTTTAGTTCGCGCCTAATAGCCCGTCTGGTCACATTGTGCTCAGAGTCAGCCGGGAGATTTCTCTGGATTCCAACAGGTTCACCGACCTCTCGGATATCCAGTGACTGGTGCGATGACGATTGATAGTGCCACAAGCAGATGCTCCTGCGTCGTGCATGGCGGCCGAGATCCTATTCCACTGAAGCTATGTCATTAGCACACGACAGCGAAAGTTCGGTACGCAGTGCGTCTTGATAGGCTTGACTGACCGAGGGCTGAGACACTTTCTCCGTTGCCAATCGGAGGGGACGCTTGGTGCGCTTCCCGGTAAAGTTCATGGAGAAACGACAGCGTACCAAAGCATGATCAGAGTCGAGGCAGATATTCCAGTACGAGCCTCAATCCAGGATGGAACCACGCCACCTGTAACCTATGTCTATGTGGTCAATTTGGGTCCATCGCTGGCCAGATACAGGAGGACGCCAAGTGGCACTTCCGCGCCCACTGTGTCTAAAAGCAGTGCTAATAAGAAACAACTGGTGCTCTGCACACAGTGATGGTGACAGCCATAGGTAGGTCACCATGTCTGATGGCACCACAATGCAAAGATTGCTAGAGAGGAACAAGTATGCATGCATTTTTTTCACTACATACACTGTAGAAGAACAATCGGCATCAGTGAGTCACCCAACCAAAACGGAAACCTGATTGTCCTCGCTACCTGACAGTACGTAGTCACCGAGGACAAAAACAAGTAAAAGCATAGCAGGAAATGAATATTGAGAAAACACAGTAAGCCATCACACTGTATGGTCATGTTAAAGCAGAGGCTAGACAAATAGACAACTCCAGATTTGTCAGTTACGAAAGAAACAGTTGCCCTGACCTTTGGTTGAATCCAAGTCTTTGGGATGTCCGAGGATAACCGTATGCCTCGAGGTGAAAAGCGATCCGAGTTTAACAATAAATCCGATCACCAGGTACCAAGCAACAATAACGAAACAAGAATGCCCGAGAAGCGAACCGAAGCACGAAAGCGAAATGACATTCAAAGTGTGTATAGGCTTAGATAATTAAAACAAGGCGCGCAGTAAAAAGTCGTGAAGCTGGGAAGTACAAGCGCTGTAACATACCAACACGCGATGTATCGTTAATACATGACCGAGGTAATATTTTAGGGAGAAAAACCTGTCATGCTTACATAACTAGTGGAAACCCTAAACATGGCGCGTATGGGAAGTAGGCTCTGCGTACACATACTCCAGATTTAAGCTGAAACGGTAATGGTGGTTGGTAACCCCCCGTCCAAAGCGCCACGGCGTGCTAAGAAATGCGGAATGGGAAGGCTAGACGTGGCACAAACCGATCAGCCAAATCATCTAACCGAGGTCAAATCCGGATGTTGTCTCTCTTAGTGAGAGTTCTTGTAGATTCGTTTCGATAATAGGTGATACGCAAAAGTCCAGAAGGTCCAACAAAAAACCATAGGGGCACAGTAATCCTTCTAAAGTGGTAGTTGAGGCTAGGAGATCTTGTTAGTTGTTCTGAGAATAGATTAGTAATGGTTTCATTCATTTGGGACTCTCTTGAATCTGTTTCCTGGAGGCACTGGCCTTCCATATACAACAATAGCTTGTCGTCCACTACCGCTGTCAGTTAACTCTGCAGTTCAGAGTTGCTTAGGGCATTGCCAGCCCAGTAACTAATAATCCAACGAAAATATACTCCATCCTTCAAACAAACCAAGCGATGGTTCGGAACAGCTCCAACTAAACAAAGGCCTCTAAACAGTTTTGAACCCGTGTTATTTAGTTTCCTAGGGGAAAATGTCACAACCGTCCTGTGGCAGATCGTGAACACGTCCACTAAGTTGACTGGTTAAGGTTTTACCCTCTTTTGTTAGGTGACATGCATTAGTTCTTAAGATAAATATTATGGTTATCTGAAAGTAGGAATTAGGCGTCAAATCAGCACATGCGAGGGCAGAGCAATACTTTTCCGGATACGCATTACAAAGATTAGGTGCAGATGAGCTGGCAAGAAAAATGTGATCTGTAATCTATTCTGAATATTGTTAAGTGATTTCAACGTACAGAACCCTATTTCTGCAGCTTAGCACAGCACACAAGTCATAAGGATTGCTATGCTCGGACTGTAAGTATGGAACTCAGTCGAGGTCAGTGAAAGGCAGTGAACTTTTATGACTACAGCGATTGCGTGCTGCATTGGGTGATGATGCACCAAGAACCCCGTGTTTAAGTGGTTTGCGAAATTCAAGCGTGGCAAGCGGTCTCTGGATAATGAGGCACGGGGTGGTCGACTTGTGGAGGCCACCACCACGGACAACATTGCTGCTGTGCAAGTGATGCTGGAGAAGGACGCGCGGGGTGACTGTGGTACAGCTGCGAAAAGCCATTGGATATCATCGGGATCAATCTGCACCATTCTACATGAGAACCTCAGCCTCAGAAAAAATTTGCGACTGTGAGGACCAGAAAGCAGCTCGGTGGGATCGATGCTGCGCCATTCTTGCCAGTTTCGATGGCGGACATTTTCATGCTGTTTGGGAGATCATCAGTGGTGATGAGACCTGGGTGTACAGTTTCGAGCCACAGACCAACTGACAATCGGTTCAGTGGACGGCAGTTGGTGGAGCGCCGCCTCAGAAATGCCAGCGTGAGCGCAATGTGGCCAAGCAGATAGTGGCTGTGTTCAAGGCCAAGACCGGTCAAGTGGCTATTGTACCGCTCGTACGACAACGCGCAGTCAACAGAAACTGGTATGCCACCCATGGTCTGCCACAAGTGCTAGAAGCTGCAGACAGGCGTCGTCCAAGGACTCGAGCACGAGGAACCTTGCTGCACCATGACAACGCACCTGCACACAAGTCCCATGTCGCCGTAGATTTGCTGGCTAGAGAACGCAACCAGGTTGATCACCCAACCTACCTACAGTCCAGACCTGGCTTCGTGTGACATTTTAGTGTCCCAAAATGTAAAACGCATGATGCGTGGAATCCGCTACGAGTCACCAGAAGCTGCAGTAGAGGCCTTTATTGAGCTGTCTGAAGAATTACCCGCTTCGGCATGGCTTAGCTGCTTCTCCAAATGCCCGAACGCTGGTGTACAGTACTTCACGAAAATGGAATGCTTATTGTGTTGTAAAAAAATTAAAACGTTCGTGCATTCGGAAACTGACTGCTCTACCGTCGTATTAGCTGCCCTGTTGCTTTCTTAGAGTACTGATGCATACTAATCAATACATGAATGGGATTACAGTGTGCCAACAATAAATGCTAGAAAGATTGTTGTGCATCAATCAGAGTGAACTAGTAAGACTAACCATCAACGGAATACCTTCAATTGGCTTCAATGAACGAAGAAAGGCATATAGTGCGGTAGGGACGGAGTTTATAGCCTTCAAGTCATTACCTATAAACGAAAAGACGGCAGTGTATAAGTGCTAGACCAAACGGATAAGATGATGAGCTGCAATGGAAGCAAAGTAATAAATACACAGCTGAAGAAAGATAGCGCGCATGTCGACGAGCCTGTTGACAATGAAACAATAATTTAGTTGTTAATTCGCCAAAGCCCTTACCGCAACGAAAGACACAAGGGGATTTAAGTAAGATGAAAGGCCAAACATCGCCATTATAAAATTAATAACTAGTTCAGGTAAAAAACACGTAACTGCCTAAAATTCTATCTCATACGTGTCTGGGTAAAATTCTTCTCACAATTATACACACATATATGTATGTGTATGGTATAAGGAGAGCCTATGGTGCGCTGAGGCTGGTGGTGGTTAGATCCTGACAGATGGTCTACCCACTGCTGCTACTGTTGTGCCATTTGCTCATGTCCTGGGCGCCTCCTCGTGGCGACCGCTGCGTGGGAGTTGGGTCACCCCCTTCTCTCTGCTAAGATACAGGACACCAATCCGCATGAGTCAGTGAACTGACTATGTGCTAGACCCGCTGCCTTTCGGGTGTACATTTAATCGAAGGCTTTGGCTGAGGATCCGAGTCGTTCTACTGTCACGTGTAGGTGCCCCACCAGTATCCTAGTCCATCCTCTTCGGAGGTTAGGAAGTGGTCGATGGCCCTCTTCCCGTAAAACCTAGCCATGGGAGACAACAGGTCTACGGGTTATAAGCTCACAGCTCGATTGGCGTAGAGCACGAGCGCCGCGCATTGTCTCTGACGGTGGGAGGACACCTCCGGGTCTTCAGTGGTTTGCTACTGCCCGCCTCAAGCCAGGCAGACCCTGGTCAAATTGGTGCAAACCCGCCAAAACCCACCTGCGTCTGGCCGTGGTCGCAGATGTATCCTACTACGGTCGCAAAACATATATGAATCGTTCCAGTGCCTCAAAGGCTACGTGTGAAGACCGACAAGCCGATCCCTATCTGTCTCTGCAATCACATTCCCGAGCTGGATCTGCTCCCCACTGCCTTGTGGATCAGGCTATTGAAGCAAAGGCTCCGGGTGGAGTCCTCCAAGCAAACCTCCGAGGCACATCCGCCACCTCGCGTGCGATTGCCCACCAATGCAATCGTATGCCTGCGCGCAAAGCACTCAGCATCGGGTGCTAGAACGTGCGCACATAACTGGACCGGAACTCCAGCAAGCGCCCGGAGCGACGCAATGCACTGGTCGCGATGGAGCTGGCGCGCTACAACATCGATATTGCGGCGCTCAGTGAAACTCGGCTCGCTGAGCAAGGTAAGTTGCATGAAGCAGGTGCTGGCTACACATTCCACTGGGTGAGCAACACCGCCTCAGCACCATCATCATCATCATCATCACCATACACGTTAGCTAGAGGTGGGGAACACCTCAGCTACTGTGCCGCAATACAAAGAAAAAAGGAGAGACAAAAACAACTGGTGAAAGCTGGCTGAGCTACCAGTAACGGATGGGCATTGTTCCGGTAAGCTACCAGCCGGCTGCTGTGCACCCAAAAAAAATTATTATGCAAAATTATATAAGGCCTCAGCACCACCTGAACATGGGGTCGGATTTGCAATATCCGATCGCCTCCATGGCCAGCTGGTAAGTGAACCAACAGGCATCAGCGCGCGACTGATGACTGTTCGCCTACGACTCGGAAGAGGTAAGTTTGCCACCTTTATAAGCACGTACGGTCCGACCATGTGTTACCCTGATGACACGCGTGATCAATTCTGCACCGAGCTATCCTCCGTGATACGGTCTGTGCCGAGGAGCGATCGGCTATTTCTGCTGCGTGATTTCAACGCGCGCTTCGGGCGTGATACATCAGCGTGGACAGATGTTATCGCTTCGCATGGCATTGGTTCAGCGAATGCGAACGGTGACAGGCTGCTTTCACTGTGTGCCACTCACTGCCTGAAGAGCACTAACATTCAGTTTGCACTGAGTGCGAGTGATATAGCAACTTGGACGCACCCACGCAGTGGTAACACTCACCTGCTCGACTATGTCATCGTACGTCAGCGTGATATGGCTGAAGTGCGCATGACACGTGTACTGCGTGGAGCTGAGTGTGGTACTGATCACAAGTTGGTGAAGACCAAACTGTACATATATTTTCGTAAATCGACGTATTGCACTCCCGCCGTGAATCGGCGTACATTTAACATTCTCTCACTCGGTACTGTGGCGGAACGTATCAAGCTGAAGAAGGCGATGGCTGCACGCCTGTGTGATGCGGACTGCATCGCCATAGTGGGCGACCTGTGGCACCACATTCGCGACCAGGTGACAGCTGCTGCCGATGAGACCATCAGACGCGAAAACTGCAAGCGGCCTGATTGGCTTGATGACAACAATGCGACGATTGACGCGTTGGTGTCGGAGAAGAATGCAGCATTTGCTGCACATGTGGCAGACCCCAGTGACTTGGGGAAGGAGAGTCAGTTTCACAAAATTCGACGGCGACTGACCCGAGAGCCTCGTCGTATTAAAAATGCATGGTGGACGGAGAAAGCGAAGCAGATGGAATGCTACGCCAAACGCCGCCAACACAAGGAGTTCTTTGACTCCTTGAAGGCCGTGTATGGACCGAGATTGGAGCCTCTGAGGACGCTGATCGATGGTAGGTCAGGCGCTACCTGCACACAGACTGCAGACATAATGCAGATCTGGAGGAAAAACTTCGACTGTCTCTTGAACAACCGTTCAGAGATCAACTGGCCTACATTAAACGGCCTTAGGCAGCACGATGTATAGGCGAGTCTGACGGACACGCCGACACTGGATGAGACGCAGAGAGCACTTGCTCAGCTGCGAAACGGTAGGTGTGCCGGAGCCGACGGGATCCCGCCTGAAGTATTGAAACACGGCGGACCCGCGTTGGTGACTGTGCTGCACCACTTGGTGCAACTCGTATGGATTGAGGAGGCGGTGCCTCCTGAGCTGAAGGATGCCCTTGTGCTACCACTGTACAAGGGCAAAGGGAGCAAGCAACGTTGCACGAATTATCGTGGCATCAACTTGCTGAGTTGTGTGGGCAAGGTGATTGCCTGAATCCTGCTCAACCGCCTCGCCAGTCAGGTTGTGGAACGTGGCGTGGCGGAAGAGCAGTGTGGATTCCGTTTGGGTCGCAGCACTATAGATATGGTGTTTGTGGCTCGTCAGTTGCAGGAGAAGTGTAGAGAACGACACCAGCCGTTGTACTCGCTTTTAGTTGATTTCACCAAGGCATTTGATACGGTGAACCGCGAGGCATTGTGGCTGGTGTTGGGTAAGTTTGGTTGCCCGCGTAAGTTTGTAAGTTTAATTGAATGTCTGCACAGTGGAATGCGAACGAGGGTGCAGCTGAGTGGAGAGACCTCGGATGACTTTGCAGTTGTCTCTGGTGTGAAGCAAGGCTGTGTCTTAACTCCTGTCCTGTTTAATATATATCTTCACGCAATGATGTCCTGTGCTTTCGATGCGGCTTTTGCTTACGGTATTCGTGTGGAGCACCGTATTGATGGTGGGTTGCTGAACATCCGTCGTTTCGGTGCGAGAACTCTAGTCTGTGAGACAACTATCCGTATGTTGCTGTTTGCTGATGACTGTGCGTTGTTTTCACACAGTGCGGATGAGTTGCAGCACATGACTAATGCTCTGGCTTCGACAGCGGCCAAATTCGGGCTCACGATCAACACAAGCAAAACTGTCTGTCTCTTTCAGCCTTCACCGGAGGTGCAATCTTCAATATTGCCGCTAATCAGCATTGGTGCTGAAGTATTGGAAATCACCTCCCGCTTCAGCTACCTTGGGAGTGTGATGTCGACTGATCAGCAGCTGCACAGTGAGCTGCGTATCCGCGTGTCGAAGGCAGCGGCGGCATTCGGAAAGCTAGAGTACCGAGTGTGGAACAACCATCAGCTTACCATTGGCACGAAGCTGATGGTGTACAAATCCATGGTGCTGTCCGTTCTTCTATACGGCAGCGAAACGTGGACGATGTACCGTCGGGATGTGCGATATCTCGAGCGGTTCCATCAGCAGTGCTTGCGACGGACTTTACGCATCGGATGGGGCGACAGAGTTGCAGACACGGAAGTGTTGCGCCGAAGTGGGATGTATGCAGTGGACTGCATACTTTTGCTGAGACACCTGAGGTGGATCGGTCATGTGAGCCGTATGGATTCGACGCGGATACCGAAGCTGTTATATGGTCAGCTGAGTACAAGGAAGTGGCACGTGGGGAAACCAGAGTTACGTTACCAGGACATGATTAAAATGAGCCGCTCACGTTCTAATCTGGATTGCAAGTCATGGGAATCGAAGGCGGTTGATCGGCGTGCATGGCATTATCTGATCACGAAGGAAGTTGCCGAGGTGCAGGAGAAAGCCCTCATGCATGCAGAGAAGAAGCGGCAAGTGCGGAAGCGGCAAGCACCAATGGGTTGTACTCCATCGACATCAAGCGCATGGTGCTGTAGCACATGCGGTCGCGAGTGCCTGAGTCAGGCAGGCTTAGTGAGCCATGAGCGAGGCCACTCGGGACCACTACCGAAGCGACGACGGGTCCTGCAGAGAACGTAGGCAGAACCGGCGCAGCGTTTGTAGGTACGCTGCATTCGATTTACTAACCGCGTGCTTGCATGCTATTATTATTTCAGGTGGTGGGTTTTCAATTTTGTCCTAATGCTTCCCTTTTCAAATAAATGTCCACCCGTACGCTCTTCTATAAACCTGCACAACTCGCTTAAGCCAATTGTAGTTAATTTCGATAACATTTTCGTGTTTGTGTCATTTCCGTAAAATAAACTTTCTGACCTCTTGAACTTATCTCGGATTCCTTATTAACAACTTATCTCATATACTCATTAATTTAAGATTTTTGTCACGTTTCCTTATCCATTATTCGATTTATTTTCCTTGCTATCTTTCTCTCAAGTGATTGGCTGTTGTTTGATATCCCCGGCATGGCTGCGCTTGATGTGCATGTTG